GTAATTGATAGAGTACAGTTCCATTCCCTCTGCTGCTGCTAAGTTGGGAATTGCAGCCACAGCAACTGACAGCTTTTTTTTCTCCTCGAGTCTGGAGTTGCTCTCTGGGAGTGATGTCCTCATCGGGATGGGAAGGGAAATGATGGCAGAAAAACTCACCCTGGCCCTGTGCTACCGAGAGACTCCAGGGACCTCTGCTAGGGGAAACAGCTCCTTGAGGTGGGTGCTGATAATGAGAGCAAAAATCAGGAGGAGAAAGCTCCGGGAGGAAATTTCTGAAATCCTGCCGGTTTGGAGAAAATGGGAGCACAGAAGAGGGAGAGTATTTATTTATGCACTAGAATTTCTGACAATGGACATGCTTTCAAAAGTGCTGCAAAATTGTGTCATTTGCTGATGGAAATGTTTTTTGTTTCCCAGTCACAGGGGCTGAACTCTGGGTGCGCCCTGCTCTTCGGATAGTGGGGATATACTGGGCTTGGATAAATAAGGGGAAAATTGAAATAGGGGAACTGGCACTAAAATCAACCTGATTTCAAATTGTCCCGTTCAGGCCTGAGTTCTGATACGGGAAAAAAAATTCCGAGCAGCTTTGGGTTTAGGAGCCGACTGCAGAATTTAACGCAGATGGCGACTAATTTTGGTGCCTCTTTAGTTGCAAAAGTACCTATTTTGGAATATATTTAATTAACCAGGATTTAAAGGCTCCTCTTGTTTGTGAACACCTTGGCTTTTTTTGTCATCTGTCAGCATCGTGATGTGCACTGTAAGTGAAGGGTTCTGAGGCATGAACTGTTTAGGTGGTTTTGATGTGCAGTTGCTTTTCTGGAGGATGTTGAAACAAAACAGTGCTGCCATTTCTACAGCTTCATTCAGCACTGCTTCCTTAGAATCTGCTGCCATTGCCCCTGTTATAAAGGATACAGATAACCCTGGAACAGCCACAGTGCTCCTGTTACATTTATACAGATATCTCGCTGCCTTTTGCCACAGAAATACAAGGAGAAAGCTTTGCTTGCCATTTGCTCTGCTCTCTGCACAAGCAGAATTTCACTTTCTAAATATGATTCTGGTTTAAATAACCTTTCCTACTAAGGTGCAAGCTGCGGCTTTAAAGAACTCCCTGCTCACCACCTTCTGCTTGCTGCTCTAGGAGGACTCTTCCAAAAACAAACCCTTGTTATTCCACAGCTCCGATAAACAGAATAAATGTGCCTGAGACCTGCTTCTTCTGTACTTCTCCCCAGCTTTGGCTCTTAGCTAGTCTGTTGGGGCTGAGGGAGAAAGAAAAGAAGAAATATAAAATTTCACCCGCAAAGGGTGAAGGGTCCAGATTCCTCTTCTCATGCTTTAAAAAAAGCAAACTACCAATTCACAATCACAAAATAAAATATGCACATTTAAACAAGCTGCAGGGGAAAGGAGAGTTTAATCCAGTGAAATTGTGTTTGAAAGCTATTTCATACCCCTAGGAATAAAATCTGAATAGCAATTCTGCTTTGCTTCCACCCTTTTTTCACCCTCCTGTTAATATATTACCATTTGGGATCGTTAGGAGACTTTTGCCCCAGACGTGGCTGCATTTTGCTGAAGGATGAAGGACTTTGTGGGCCCGAGCCTCTTCTTGCTCACAGGAGCAGTCAGAACTCAGCGATGCTCCGGGGGAAGGATGTTTGATTTGCACCTGGGCGGGAGAAGGAGCCGGCCCCTTTTTTAAAGCCCTTTGTGATGCGTTTGGGTGAAAGCCCCAACACAAACGGGCTGTTTATGGCAAACACAGGTCCCATCCTAAAGCAGGCACTGATGGAAAGAGCTGCAACTCTCTGCCTCAACAACTACCGACTTGGGAATGAGGCTCTCAAAAAGCAAGGATGATTCAGAAAAGATTCGGCTGCAAAGATCAAAATGCGTTTGACATCGTTTCGGCGTTGATGGGAAATAAAGTGGCTCTGAAAGTGTAATCGGAGAGCAGAAATCCCCATCATCACACATAAATAGTGCCCCATTTATCCAATTACACTCCCTTGTTTCATTGCAATGGCCTGGAATATATTTCTTAGGAATACAAGGCTTAAAATTAATAATAGAAAAGGACAAAATTGCCATGTATATTTCTCTAGATAGATTTTCATCTAACAGCAGGACTTCACTTCTGATTCACTCGCTGGTTCTCTCTAACCTTTACATTATTCATTAATCAAACTCGAAACCTGCTTTCAAAGTCAGTGCATGGCAGTAATTATTTACAGTTGTGCATAGTATTTAATTTTAAGCAATGACAAAAGCAGGCATGTCCAGAATCATAAGGCTTATCATTTTTCTTGCCTTGGAGGTGAACTATCTGAAGAAACTAAAAGTTGCAAACTTCTCTTCAATATCTCTGCTGCCATCAAGACAAAATGCAGTGCAACTGATACCTTTGAACTTGTACAACTAAAAATAAATAAAAGTGAAAATTAAGTAATATATAATGTATTAACTCCTTTAAATAAAAGGACTAAGGAGCTTTGCTATCAGCCTTGATGAGAGCTTCATTTCTTACTGCACAGTCTGTCTCCTGTCACTTTGAGGTATTTTTCACCATACAAAACAGAACCTCAGTATTATCCCTGAAAATGAAAGTCAGTTTTAAGAACTATATACAACAGGCACGTCTGCTCTTTGAAACTCCCCCTACCCCCCACAAACACACAAATACAACTTCAAAGCAGGAGAACTATTGCAAATGTATAAACCTACTTCAAATAGTTCTGCTGGCTGAAACTGGACTGCATTTGCAGGATTTTGCTCACCTGAAACAACACTGATCTGAGGAGAAATCTAATCAAAGAAATGCACCACTACAGAGCAATGCACGTTTTATAATGAGAATGAGAAAGGAGAGATCTAATTGTGGTCATACAAGTTTCTCCCTTGTCATTAAGATCTTAAAAATGCTGTAGGATCCTGGATAAAAACATCTCTTACTGTATCTCAGCAGGGAAATCCCCGGAAACAACAGCACGGGCTCTGCTCGAAAAAAATTTACTTACTGTATCCTATGGTTCTAAAAAAGAACACCGTGCCCCTGCCACGAAAAGATACTACACACATTCCAAGTGAAAATTCGACTTTGAAACCCAAATAAAATGAAGCCTCGTATTCCTGACAGAGAGAAAAAAGGAGCAGCTCTAGCACTGTCACTGTGCCGATCAGCATCCATGGAAAAACAGCTATTTATTTATCCTGCAAGTGGAAAATGTGAATGCCTTATTCAGATCAAACCTCTTGGTCGAAGAAAATAATAATGACAGAGTCTCTGATAGCAGAGTTCTCCCGAGTACATACAGATATTTATATAAATAGGTGCATTTCTAGCGGAACTGTTATTTACGGGGAGAGCCATAAATTTGGGATCTTTGCCGGCCAGGAATCCCAACCTGCATAGGTGCATTCCCTGGGCACGTCCCAAAAGCCTCAGCCTGCAGCCCATTGTCCTGCACCCAAAGAAATGCAGCCAGAGCTGGGAGTTGATCAAAGTTCTGCGTGTCCCAGTTTCTCTGGGGTGACATTTCCCCCCGCGTGGATCCCAAGCACGACTTCACAAAGTTTATTCAAGTGTGCCACTAAACTTGCCCATACATTTTGTCCCACATTTGCTGTGCTACACCCAGGAAATATTCGCAAGGGCGAAGGAAAATTTGTAAGGTAAAGACAACAAATATGAGTTTTCTTTAAAGGACTAATCCGAGGAAGGACACAAAGGGAAAAAAGAAGGGAAAAAACCCGCCTACATTAAAAGCCAAACAAGATAATAATTGTGCATGTCTGGCTAAGAGAATCTAGAGGGCAAGCCTTACGTCATTGGCACTTGGGTTACCATGGTGAGTGATTTATTGATATATATCAAGAATGAATAGATCAAAGGCAGCAAGATGACAGGTGATCAATCAAATGTCAAATCAAAGCTGGCAATCAACTGGAAAGCTGATTTTTCAGTGGGTGGGTCTGGCAGAAGAAAAATGAACTTCCATATTGCGCTTCCCAGAAACAAAACCCCACCACACTATTAAAAAAAAAAAATAAAAAGCAATTAAGGAGCCTGAAAGAAAACTCTTTGAAAAGATTTACTATACAGACCCACTCGTCTGTTTCTTTTTCTTGGCCCCCAAAAGAAAAAGAACACCCTAACAACGACAAACAAAACACTTCCAAAGTTGCAAACTATTTTCTTCTGTTCAAAAAAAAAAAAAAAAAAAAATTGCAAAACCACTTGGCATGTGCAAATATATAAACTCGGCTACGAAACAAAAGAAGGATTTGATTTGAAAATGTGGATTGTCTTCTAACAGTCAGAACGTTTCATTTTATTTCCTGTTGCAATTTTCACCACTGATGATCAAAGGCTGAACTTCCCCACCGGGTTCATCAGCAGAGAGTCCCTGTACTATTTCAGGCACACACAGCGCTCACACACACACACACACCCGGCCAGAACCGCCACCAGAAATACGGCGAAATAAAAGATTAAACACCCCGACCCACTTCGCGAAACGCACGGATCCGAAGCGAAAGGCAACGGGAGGGGGGAAAACCAGACAGGACAAAAAAAAATATTAAAAAAAATAAATAAAATAAATAAAAATTCTATCCTAAAGCGAGAAGCAAAGGGAAGCCTGGCTGCTTTCGGTTCGGGCAGGGGAAGGGGCAGGGGGAGAAGGGGCGCCGGGGGAAGAAAGTTGGGGGGAAAAGTTTCGGCAGGGCAGCGGCAGCGGCGGCTGCGAGCCGGGGACAGCGGCGGAGGGCGAGCGGACAGCCAGCCCTGGCACGGCAAAAGCCTGGCAAATAGGGAATGAAACTGGCTCCACAGACTTAGGAGGGAAAGGGAGGGGGAGGGGGGATAAATAAATAAAGATCCAGCCCGGAAAAGCAAGGGTGACCCTAAATAATAATAAAGATGGGGGGTAGGAGTGGAAGGAGTGGAGAGACAGAGGCTGTGTAAGTGGATGGCTTCTCCTTACCTGCAGCCCGTTTGGGTGCTTGCTGTTTCCTCCTTGGCATCGCTCTACTTTCTCCAATCTCACTTCTGTCCCCAGATCCGAGAGCCCTGAGACGCTCCTGAGCCGTGTTCCTCTGCCTCTCAGCTGCTTCCCCAGCACCCCCCTCAAGCCTCCCCTGCCCCCCTCCTTTCCACTTCACTGATAGGAACCTGTTTGGTTTTTATTTTATTTTAGAGATCTAGGTTTCTTTCTTTCTTTTTTTTTTTCCTCTCTCTCTCTCTCCTTTTTTTTTCTTTTTTTTTTTTTTTTTTTTTTTTTTTTTTTTTTTTTTTTTTTTTTAACTGTTGCAACACTTGCTTTGCTTTGATTCAAACATCCAAGCTCAGGAGCAAATGAAAGGCGCCCACAGTGCCAGAGAACGGCAATAAATAAATAACAAAATAGATCTGTATATATTAAAAAGGCAGCTCTGGAGAGACTGTGGGGCTGGCTGCTTCCTCCCTTCCCTGTCCTGTCCTCCTCCTCCTCCTCGCAGAGCCGTATGGCGGAGCGGTGCCCGGGTGTGCGCGGTGTGTGCGTGTGTGTGTGTGTGTGTGTGTGTGTGTGTGCTCGGAGCGCCGCAGGTTCCGTGCTGTCAGATGCCAGGCAGTGAGTGATGTGGGAGCGGACAGGGAGGCTCGGGATGGGAGGAAATGTGGGATCCGCGCTCGCACACACGCACACGCACACACACACACACACACGCGCGCACACGCGGCGCCCCGAGCGCGGGCACACGCGCGCACACGCACACACAGACACGCGCGCCCCGCACACACACGCGCGCACACGCACACAACAAGGCAGGGCGAGGCGATGCCAGCGAGCATCGATCCACCGAGCAAACTGAACATTAACAAACTCCTCCTCCGCGACCCGATGACAGGAGGAAATTTACTCCGCGCAGCCGGGCGGCAGAGCCCGTTCATTAAAGAGACAGGGCGCCGGCACCGCGCCCGCCGCCGCCACCCCGCCGGGCCCCGCGGGGACACCGCTCCCCACGCGGGGACACCGCTCCCCACGCTGGGATACCCCTCCCCACGCCGGGATACCCCTCCCCACACCCCCTCCCCAGGCAGGGACACCGCTCACCACATCCCCTCCCCAGGCGGGGACACCCCTGATACGGGAGCATCCCCCGAAACGGGAGCATCCCCAAATGCGGGACCTTCCCCGCACACGCGGGACCACCCCCCTCACCCCCTCCCCATTCGGGATCACCCCCCACACTCCTCCCCATGCGGGATCACCCCCCGAATCCCCTTCCCCACGCGGGATCACCCCCGGCCCCGCAGGATGCGCTTCCCAAGGGAGGGCGCTGCGGGCAGCCGGGGCCGGGGCGGCAGCGCCCTCCGCGCCTTCCACCCGGCACGGGGCGGCTCCAGGGGAAATCAGGGATTGGCGGCAATGATCCCGCTGGACGGGCGGGTGCGCTCCTGCGGCTGGGCTGCCAGCGGCTGCTGGGACACCGGGGTGCGCCTCAGGTGTGCCCGGGGCTGGGAACCGGGGCTGGGGACCGAGGGATGCTCCCTCAGGTGTCCCTGGGGTTTGGGATCAGGGGATGCTCCCTCAGGTGCTCCCTGCTGCCTGTGGATAGCCCAGGGCTGGTGACCAGGTCCCTTCCCTGCCCAGGTGTCACTCTGCACCCTGAGGTGTCCCAGCCTCATGGAACATGAAGGGATCAGAGGGTTGGACATCGAAGTTTGGTGAAGTTCGGGTGAAACTCGTCTGCTCCCCGAATTTCCCCTGGCACCTGGATTTAGGGAGAGTCAGGGCCATCCATCAGGTGCTGCTGCACCCTTGTGGGAGCCCAAATCTGTGTCCCATCCAACCGAGCAGAGTTTGTCACTGTTTCAGAGCCCCAGCAAACTGCCAGGCCAAGGAGGAGCAGGTGGCACTGCAGCTCTGAACAATGTTGGTCCCTAAAACACACAGAGACAACTTCCCCCTCCCCTTTTATTCTTTCAGCTTTAGGTTGTTTATTTTCCCCAGCTGCTCTGAACAACTTGAGGATTTAAATGTGATTTGGGGTGGAAAGGATGAACTAAGTTCTATGTATTCAACTATAATTTATATAAGACCACTTAAAAGTGGCTTTTCTGATACTCCTTATCTTAAAGCAAGAGGTTGCTGTAGAACTGAGTTTTTACCTTTTTGGGGTTTTTTGGCATTTGACTATTTCTAATGAAACTAATAAGAATAATAGGAATAGGAAATATAGGAATAATTTGCATCCCTCTCAAATATAATCTGTCTGTTACAAAGAACCAGCAAGAGCTGCTGTGTTGTAGCCAGTGCCACTGGGCCATCTGCAAGGCCTGCAGCCCCCTAAAGTGACCTCTGTATTCAGCAGCCCAACACCAGATTGTGTTTATTAAAGTATCCTCCAAACTGGTTTCACTGATATTTTTTGATACCTTTCTCTGTATGAACTTCAGCAATTTTTATATGCAATAGCAAAGTATTTACTGGTGCACGCAAATGCTTAGTTTGAAAGATAAAATAGGATAGCACTACTATAAAATACTCATTTTTTCACTTCTGCCTGGCATAACTCACCTGGGAGTGAACAGCTCTGCTAGGATCAGTGGGAATTGAGGGGGTCTCTGATACCTGAGTGCAGCACGTGTAAAACCCTGCTGGTGCACACCAGGGATTGATTTCTGCTTTGTCTCCAGTCCAGGAGGTGTCAACACAGGGCCAGGAGGGGCCACAGCAGTGGGACAATTATCCCTGCCCTGGGATGAGGAGAAAGGACACACTACTGACTTGAGAAGTGCAGCCTGCACCTGGATCAGGTAGCTCGGCACAGAGTGGCAAACCAAGATTTTCTCCTCACATTTCGTGCTGTCTTGATTTGTGAATTTGAACCCTTCAACTTCTGCGTGTTGGTCCCCAAATGAGCAAACTGCAGATACCTCTGGCTGGTTTTCAGTTTCCTCTCCTCCCTGGCTGCACACAAAGGTGCTGCACCTCCACTAGATGGTTTATTATGAAGGGTTGTGTGTGAAATGCTGTTTAACACAGCGAAGTTTTACTAAGATTTCTCCCAACCCACGGGACACTGGCAGGCGTGAGGGGGTGGCAGATGACACAGTGGCCTCCTGTTTTAACCTCTCCATGTGCTGCTGCCGTGCAGAATGCAAAGCCAGGAGCTGTGGTTCAGGCAGGGCAGCAGCTCGGCGTGCTCTGGGATCAGAGGAGCAGCTATTGTTCTCCAGAGCCGTGGCTCGGGTCCAAGCACACACACACACTGCCGACGGGATTTGTGTCGGGGGCACTCACGGCCTGCACAGGATGAGAAAGTCACTGTTTGAAATGGTTACTCCTTGGGGAAAGGGGAATGGAGAAGATGGACTTGTGAGTGGAGCAGTAGTGAGATGGCACCCTATCCTCGGTGATAAATGGGAGCATTAACAAGGCTTGGTCGAGAGGAACCCTACAGATTTATGGCTTCCTGTCTCCACCAGCAGATGCCATTATGGCTGACAGAACAGAATGCCTTTCAAGAGGGAACTGGGCTGGGATTATGAAGAAGGGGGAAAAAAAAAAAACCAAGCAGAGTCTGGTGTCCATTTTTATCCACTGGTCAGAACTGGCTGATAGGTTTGAATAGAGCTGGAACTACACAGCGTTCGTGTGCTCCCTGCTCCTGTTATTTATAACAAAGTTGGTGAAGGTCATTTAGCATCTCTTTCAGCACAGGAAGAACCCATAATATTTACTGAAAGCATTTTTGCGCTCTTGAAAATTAGAGATAATAAAATGAACAGATAGCACTGAAGGCTTCCTTGGCTTATCCAGTGGAATAATCTCGATGGGTGCTTAATGTTTACTTTGGAAATACAGCAAATGATTCTGAAGCTATATTGAATTTTATCTATTTTTATTACGTTGCAGAATAATATTTCTCTTTCCTGACAAAATGTTATGACCAGTAATAGCAATGGCAGTTATGCATGTTCAAAAAAGAGTAATCAAATCTCATGCTTCAGGGCATGAGCTGAATCCCCCACTGGGATCCAGAAGGAATTTTTTTTCTCCCCAAATATAGCAGTATACAATCAAGTAGGTATGTTCTTAGAGGATTTTCAATTTCTTGGTTAGGTGCAGATTACATGGAGCAACAGTGTGACCTGGGATTGTGAAAATCCTCTCTCGCTGTAGTTTTGGGCTGGTTTGGGTGGGATTTTTCAGCCTAATGTGTGTGATTTGTTGTGCCTTACAGGAAAAGTTTACAGGCACTTGTGTGCACAATGAAGGGCCCAATGCTCTTTGTGTACCTGACTCTGATAACAGTTCCCATCACGTGTAGTCACAACAAGCTCAGCTCTGTGACTTGCAGTGTTTTATCTTACTTATTTTTCTTGTCTGTCTTTCTTTCAATGACTGCTCTGCTGATAATTAAACACGGGGATTTTTTTTCTCTTTCCCTTTTTTTTTCCCTCTAGAAGTTATCTATATGTAGGTACACAACTCCTCTTGAATGAAATTCACAGTGTTGGTGACCCCTTTCACGCTTTGCCTACCACTTTTGAGAAAGAAAAAGTGGAAATTCTGACAAGTCCTGCAAACAAAGAAAGGGTTAGAAATATTTGATTTGATAAATAAAATTTTAAAAATCAGTATTGCCAGCTAATGACATTGTCAGCCTCAGTGTTTACTTTTTTTCTTCTGAGAATTGTTGGAGGAAAATTATTTTAAAAAGTGTTTGGGTTACAATGATTTTGAAAGAATCGACTTGAAGTCAGACTGAGGATTCTTTAGAGAAAAGAGAACCCTGTAGATCCCTTGCAGTCCCTGCCTAGGAACAGCTTTAACTGGGATCATTCCACTGAGGCACATTTGACCACAGCATGCAGATTCAACAACTCCTGGGCAGCCTCTTCCAGTGGATTTACCACAGAAAAAATTATCCCACTGTTGGAAAACTTTTTCTTTTTGGGGCCTTCCCAAATAAAATGGAGAACAGTTTCTTCCCTTCCTCTTTGAGGCAGTTTTCAACATCTTTGCAGACACGTTCCCCAAACCATCCCCGCTTGTTCAGCATCCCTTGCACATCACATTCCCTGGTCCTGGCCCTCATTTCACTGCTCCGTGGCTGGACAACATCTGACTCGAGGTGCAGTGCCAAAGCCTGGCTGCTGGATTTGTGTTTTCCACCTCCCCAGCAGAGTGGGATCCCTTCACATGTCTAACACATGACACTGCTGTTCCATGTCCCAGTTTGACACCCGCCCTTTCTGCAGCACCACGGCACCCTTGACTCACCGAGCCTCTGATTCACTGCAGCCCCAGCTGCTTTCCTGCAGAACTGCTTTGTAATCACTTGTCCCCATCCTATATTTGAGCAGTTGATTATGCATCAGTGACAACTTTGCACTGATTCATCTTGAATTGCATCCTATTTTTCCCGAGTGTTGCTGAGATTTGTCAGGCTCGTTCTGGATTACAATGCTGCCTTCAAAGCTGCTGCCGTCCCCCTGGCTCGGGACCATCTGCAAATCTGCTGCTCAATATTTGCTGTTCCACCTCCTGGGACATTAATACAAGTATTGGATATTGCCAGGCCCAGGACACGCTCCAGACATTATTCCAGCCTGACAATGGGCCGTGAGGGGATAATTCTGGAGTGTGATTTTCCTACCTCTTCCAATCCCCTGCAAGTCATCTGGAGGATGTGGCACCCAGGGAACAGGGACAGGACGAGGGAAAACGGCCTCAGGCTGGGCCAAGGGAGGCTCAGGTTGGACATCAGCAGGAATTTCTTCATGGAAAGGGTGGTCAGGCATTGGATTGGCTGCCCTGGGAGGTTTGGATCCCCATCCCTGGAGGTTTCTAAGGGACGTGGCACTCGGTGCTCAGGGCTGGTGACAAGGTTGGGATCAATCACAGCTTGGTCTCCATGATCCTGGAGCTCTTTTCTGGAGGCTGTTGGGTCTCCACCAAATTTCAGGGATGGCCATTGGTAGTCCTGAGATTCTTCTCAGCCCTGTTTAATGTCCTGACCTTTCCTCTCTGCTTCCCAAGTGCTCTTGGAACTCTCCTGCAGCCAGAGCTCACCCTCCTCTGACACTGGCCCAGATTATTTTTGCAATCTGATCACAGCTGATTCCCAGAGTGAAGATGAAAGTAAAAAAGGCTTTCTTAGGGTGATCTGTCAGAAGCTTTCTCCCTTTGCTGAGTGACAGATGGAATCTTCCCTGGGTCTTTTCCTGCATAGAGCAGGCACTTACCAAACACTTTCTCCTTGTTATGTTCCTTCCAGTTGTATCTCATTTGGTGACTTTCTCTTTGTAATTCTTTCCCTGTGTGCTCATGGTCACTGTGAGGAGCTCACATAAGTTTTTGCTGCACTTTTTCCACATTTTTACATGTACTCATTTGTTTATAGAATGTATATTTAGCATTTATTTATCCTTTTGTAAGGATATTCCTTGCCGTGCTATAGAAAAGTCCTTTTCCCCACAAAAGGGTGGAACAGCAGCACTGGGGCAAAATCTTTTTTCCCCTTTGTCTGTACACAGAGAAGTTTGCTGGGGTGGTAGGGAAGTTAAATTTCCCCTCCTGGAATGAAATGCTGCTCTCACAAATTTCTTCTTTGAGTCACGGCAGCATTTCCAGATCTCTTTGCCTTCTGATCTTCACTACAGGACTCACCCTTTGCAGGCCCTGTGTTTGAACTCCCCCCTCACTGCAAAAACTCATCTTTTGGAGCCAAGTAAGAAGAATTTCAAGCAGGGGTTTGCAGAGCTCTGGCTGCAGCCACCTTCTCCAGCCACATCTGGGGTTTGTCCCCTCCTGGTGTCACCAGCTGGGGTCTCACACATGATCTCACTCACAGCTTCACACCCAGCTCACCAGCCCTTAACCAGCTCCAGAATTTATAATTCAGCCTTTGGACTGAAACAGCCTGGAAGCTTTCAGTTTCAAAACCAAATTTCTCCTTCCTTAAATCACAACAAGTCTCCGGTTTGAAAAAATAAAAAAAATAAAAATAAGCACTCTGCTTTTTCTGAAATAAGTACAGCATGTGATATCTGTGGTATCATTTCCCAATAAAGCAGCTAATTAAATTATTGGATCTAAAAGTTGCTCAGGCCACAATCCACAAACCTCCTATTTTCTCCAGTGGATATTAAGTCCCTGATCAGCAGGGACTTGGACTAGTGTATTTATTTTCTTTCTTTAAAAAACAGCAAGATAGTTAGGATTTTTGAAAATAATAACAATTAGCTGGAACTGGACAGGAATGGACTGTAGTCTTCAACAAGTGCTTGGGAAAATTTAAATAATAATTAAAAAAAAGAAAACCTGAAACCTGCCATTTTTAGGGGGGGGAAATCATCATCAAGGAGGCAGTGTTCTTCCAGATCCTTTCTTCCTCAAATACCACTTTTCATTGAAAAATCTGTTTTAATAGATTCTTAAAAATAAACTTTGAGGGTCCAAATTATAAATGGGGATGCAATGCCTGTGTGACTGCTGCAAAGGAGAAGTTTGAAGATGATATCAGGGTTTTTTTTTTTTCCCAGTGAATCCGAAATATGAGTGTGCAGAGCTTAATTTGACATGAGGAAATGAACAGCACAGGGACTGCATTTGGCTGTCCACGATGGCAGCAGGGAATTTTTTGTCTTTTATTAGTATGATTATTTTTATTATTTATAGCAACGGAATGAATTTATGTTGAAAATTGGAATAATTGATCTATCTGTAAAATAACATGGCCCTAAAATGGTAGTGGTGCTTTGTAAAACCTCCAGGATTGTGTTGCTTATAAATGAGGAAAAGATGAGGCACTAAAAACCTTAAAAATCTGTAATTCCCCAAATTGTCACTTGTGCCATGTCCCCCAAATTATCCTGGGAGTTTTTTCCACATCAAGTAAAGATAAATGGACAAACACAGTTTACACATACCAAGCACATTTGTTTAATAAACAATGCTGAGAAATTTTTGAACTGAAACTCTAAAGCCGCTGAAAGGGACAAAACGCTTAATTTCAAATCATCAAAGTGTTTCAACTGAAATGGAACTTTAACAAATTGATATAAGGGCTAAATTAGCTTTTGCACAGCAGAAAACAAAAGGGATTTTCTACAGAAGAACCTCACAATGGGTTTTTTTTTTGCGCATTCGTGGGAACATTTGCACCTGGGCTGGGGCTGGGGCTGCGTTTCTGGGTGGGAATGAGCCCAGGTGTCCCCAGGCACAGGAATTGCAACCGCCCCAAGGGGGGCACCGGGCACTATTTGAGGGATCCACCAGGCACGGGCAGCTTTTGGGATCCTCTGGGTGCTCCAGGGACAGGTTTTTCCTTTCTGCTCCTCGTCCCATCCTGGTTCTGCACGTCAATCTCTCAGGTAAGTCGTTATCAGTTTTGTTTTGTTTTTTTTTTCTTGTGGTTCCTTTGTGGTCCGGTTTGAATTTGTTCTGTGAAGGAATTTCTCTGAAGGAAACATTTCTGTCTCTCCATAAGCAGAGAGAAACTCAAGTTTGTAGATTTACCTGCGAACTCAGGTGCTAAACTGAAGTGGTTTTGCCTAAATTGGTGACATGTTTCATGTTTTCTCTGAAACCAACGCATCTTTAGGTTTTTTTTAAAAATGCAGTTTTATCAGTGGAACACAATCAATTGATAAGCTGGACATGGAAAGCAAAGAGTTTTTTGTAGAAGTGAGTGAAAGTTATAAAAAGAGCACCTCAGAAATGTGGAAGTCTAAAGCACTAAGAGTAAAAATTGGGAGGAAAAGTAGTTTCCTAATTGGAAATTTGGGAATGAAAAGTAAGGTGTTCAGAGATAACAAGATTGACTGTTAAACAATAATTGGGTTTGTGTTAAAAATAAGTGATTAAAACCTGGAAATGTTTTTGGTGGGGTTTTTTTTTGGCGTGTGGAGTAACAATGGTGTATTTGTGGTTATTTAGAAAGAAAAACGCTGTGTGCTTCTCTTTCTTTGATTAAAGAAAAGTTCTGGGAGTTTTTTAAAAGTCTGTTTCTGGTCAGGCTATTCTTCCCTTTGTTCCTAAGCGATGAGACGTTTCTGGAGCACCTGTGGCAAATTCCCTCGGGGTTTGGGAGCCCAAATTCAGGTGGGCTCCACCCCTGTGAGCTCCTGGCAGCGATGAGCCCAGGCTGAGGGTGATGCCCCATTCCCAGGGAGCTGAGCTTTGGCATTTGTTGGGAAAATTTCGATTTTTACTTTTTCCTGCTTTGTGATGCTCAGTGTGCCAAGGTTTTCTGAGAGAAAAGTCTGAGGCTGTTCAGGTTTGCTTTTAAGGTTTTGTGTTTTCAAAAAAAAAAAAAAAAAAGATGTTTAATGGGGGAATGGAATTTTAGGTTTGCAGAGCAATATTCCAAAAGGAACCATCGAGCCATTTTCATGGAGATTGAATGACACTTTTGTGGTCCTTTCTCTACTTCTGCTTTTAATATAAATGGTATAGCAAATACAGGTGAAAAAAAAAAAAAAAAAAGCCCACCTGTCAAAATATAGCTCTGTTTGGTTACCTCTGTCCATGGGACAATTTTAGTAACCTGTCAATCAATGGGCTGCTAAATAGCCTCTCCAAAGCACAATCTGCTATTTCAGACGACATCAGTGTGTCAATCATTTATTGAATCAAAGCCAAATTTGAAGCAAAGCAAGCCCAGTTTGTCAATCACTGCTCAGCATTCTCTCCACTAACCACCTGACAGCTTTTAACTTTTCACTTTTATATTCCATGCAGCTAGTTAAGATTCTTTCATTTTTAATTGGCCTTCTTTTATGATTGGTAGCTAAGCAACTAATATGTTGTTTTATATGGGTAATAATGGGCCCAAACTTGAGAGCTTTCTTGACCATTCCTATTTGTTGTTGGGAAATTATTTTCCTTCAAGTTGCTAAATAGCAGATGTAGCAGAAACAGTTATTTAATTATGGGTTGTCCTGTTGTTTCTATCTATAAACACTTTTGGCACTGTTTAAAAATAAATACTGCATGCGCTGGCAAATATATACTGAGTGATTTTAACTCCTGATAGAGTCCTTTGGAATTTCACTGCTCATTTACAGGGAAAACTGGGTGCAAAAAGGAAAGGGTTGCCAAAAAAACAGTTTGGAAAAATATTAGCAGAGGACAGAGCGAGAAATCTGTTTCAGAATCCCACTAGGCTTTAATCCAACCTGATCAGCTTTCAGTCTTAATTTTAGGTACAATTAAATTTCTGAGGCCAAGAACAGTTCTGGGAGCCACCATCTCTCAAAATAAGCCAAAAAGTCCTTCCCCAACAAACTCGTCTGCCTTTTTTTGTGTGCTTTGATTTAATTAAAATTTTTTTGGTGCCTGAAATGTGAAACTTTTGAGTTGGGAGTGGGGCTCTGAAGGTGACCCCAGGTCTTGGGGTGGTTGCCATCCCCTCTCCCCATCATGTACAAGACAAGCCCTGCCTTTCATGTGTGTGAAATGAGCCCACAGCTCCCAGAAAATGCTCCTGCCTTTCTATTTCCAAAGGCTGTCATCAGCAAAGCCCAAGTGTTGTTCTCAGACAGAAAGAATCAACTTTCTGTCCTTCCCATGAAAGGAAGTTTGGGGAAAGAACTATTTCTGTGTTACATAAAATTCTATTTTGGGTTCAAAAGAGTTTTCTTCATTTAATTCTTTTTTTTGCATATCTGTTTGATGGGCTTCTGGCTGTCTTTTGACAGACTGCTGTCATCTGGTTTGATCCAAAACTGTGAAACTCCAGATGTGCCCAAGAACTTGGGAGAACATGGGCTTAGTTCTGCAAAAAGCTGCAGGAGGTTTTGAGGCAATCTGATACAAAATGTACTTCCCAGCCCTATTTGAATTTTACATTGGGTTTTGTACTTCTTTTTACCAAAGTAAAAAGCAAAAGAGGCTGAGAGCACATGAGGATTGACAGTGGGGAGGCAAATGGGAGCTTTGGAGCCTGGAGTGTTGCAGAAATCCAGGCCAGTGTTAAATGTGGGTGCTTTTCCCCACTGGGAAGCTGAGGGGAAATACTGGTTCTAAGTGCCCCTCTCAGGATGAAAATCCCACCAGACTGTTGAGATTGGGTAATTAATAAACAACAACAAAAGCTGTAAAGCAGATCTTCCCGTGCAGCTCCAGGAAAACAGCAAATTTGCTGACAAATGAGTTCTAGAGGAAGTGCCAAAAAATACTTTGGTTTCTGCCTTCATGGTGGGAATTCTGCTGCTTTTCATGGCTATCCATGGCATGAACTAATGGTTTCTTGGAGATCAGTGGCACTCTGACAAATGAGGTGTAAGTTTGACTGCACAAGTGATCATGAGATATTTTTTATTTTTTTTTGTGCATAGATTTCTATTTTTTTTTTTTCACTCTTTCTATCACCAGCTATTAGCCAGAGCTTTTTTAGAGAAGGTGTTCTGATCCCAGGCTGCCTCCATAGCTTGGCACAGATTGTTCCTCTTGGCTCCCAGAGTGTTCAGGCCTGGCTGAACATGAGCTGAGCTCTGGTGGCTCAGGCATCTGAGCAGAGGGGAAACCCACACAGCACCCACCCACACAGCACCTGGCCTGTGAATTGGCATGGGATGCTCCATGCAGGAGTGGAGAGACACGGGATGATAAATATTATACAAATAGGAGGAGGATGGGGTCAGCAAAGCCAGGCTACTCACAGGGGCTTCTCAAACTGCTTTATTTTGGTCGCTGCCATTGATGTGGTGCTGAGGAGAGTCAGCCTGCCTGCATGGGTGGTGTGCTCTTGTCCTTTAGTTGCTCTTAAGGACCCTGTGACCAGGAGAAATGATCATTTTCAAGTGTTTAAATTTTTAAATTGTACAGTGGCATTTTTTTTAGGTGAAACCTGTTGGTCAAGAGCATCTCCAAATCTTGGCTGGCATTCCCAGCTGGGCAGAAATGCTGGAAGGAAATCTCTGGTTTTGTATTGATGGCTGATTTGCTCAGTGTCCTGTGCATCCACTGGGAGTCAGGGATGTGCTTTAGTGTCACTGATTTCACAAAGGTTTAGAAGGTTTACAGAGCCATTTGTCCCTGGCAAACTGAAATGTGGGGTCTGGGTCTGTTCTCTGAGCACTTCCTGTGTTACCTGGGACCAGAGGGAGAAGGAGCAGGAGTTTTTGGGAATGCTGCCCAATTCTTTATTCCATGATACCCTGAGAGCTTTGTCCTGGGGCTGTTCCTGTTTCTCTCTGGTTCCTGGAGCTCCTGGCAGAGCACCTCTTGTCCCTGAGTGAACTGTGCAGGGCTCTCCAGATAAAATGTTAATATTCCCCATTACTTACTTAGTGAGCCCATTTTTCCAGCAATGTGTCAAAAAGTTGATCAGTGTCAACTGCTGCCTTTGTTCACCCCTGCCATGGGAGCAGCACTAAGCCAAAAATGATTAATCCCTCTCCTAACTGGAAATGGAGGGAGAATTTGCTAAAGCAGAATGCAGCTACCTGTGCTGGAACTCCTCCAGGACACTCCGGGGAGCACAGCCACCCTTCCAAGGAGTGAAATGGGATTTCTGAGCTGTGCTGAGGGCCTGGGTTCTGTGAGTTTACATCTCAAACACCCACGGAGCAGGAGCACTGAGCAGCCTCAGAATCAGCAGGAAGCCTGTCCCTGTCACCTCGTTGTTGCTGGAATCTGCTCTGCTGCTCCTCCCAACCCACTGAGCAGCTCCAGGAGTGAGGAGGAGAGGCTGTGCTTCCAAACCATTTTTATCATCCAGAATTCAAATACCGGGTGCTGTGAGTGGTGTCGTTTAGATGTACTGACTGCTCAAGCTGCAGCCTTGGGCACAGAAAAGCAGAGTGTGACCCTCCCTGGGTGGCACAGGGATCTCAAATGCCAAGTGAAGCTTTTCCCTGTGGCTGGGAATATTCCAGGTGGGCTTTGCTCAGAGCCACCTTTGTCCTAAAGGAGTAGAGCTGAGACCAGAATGGGTTAATGCACGCATGCAGATGCATGCTGGAGGCAATGTAAGGGATTGAAAACCATGGAAAATCACCCTGAGAGATTTGAAAATAGCAACCAAAAAAATTAAGATGGCTTCATTTAGAAACCTGGCTATTGTTTGTTCTTAACTCTCATGCTCAACTGTGGGTTTTTATACCTATGAAAATGAGCTGGTGTGTGGAGATGAGAGGTTTAAGTTGGATATTAGGGAAAATTTTTTTCCTGGAAGAATTGCCCAGCCCTGGCACAGCTGCCCAGGGCAGTGGAGGAGTCCCCAGTCCTGGAGGGATTTAAGTTGTGGCAATGTGGCTCTTGGGGACAAGATTTGTGGCAAACTCAGCAGTGCTGGGGGAACGGTGGGACCTGATGCTCCTCAAGACCTTTCTGACCCTGATTGTGTGATTCTCTAAATCTGAACTGA